GGACGCTCATTTATAATTTCACCTGTATCCCTATCGTAACTAGGTGCTTTATTCTTCTGAATGTCATGGACAATGGTGTTAATTAAATCCTTCCTTTTAAACCGAAGCCGATTTGTAGTAAGGCTACTAGGGGGTATTGAAATATTTGCACGATGAGTGCCTTTATTGGGTCTCAAGACTTGTGAAAGATGGCAGTTGAAAGCGTTTGCTTTATCATCATCATACCTCGCCCAGCTTCCGTTCTGAGTACATAATGGTGCTTCTCGAAGAACGGGCCTCTTCGCATAATTTAGTGTTCCCCAAAGGGAGTAGTCAGTCTGTTTAGACGCAGACAAGAACTGACGGATCGACTGCGTACTTCTTTCTATTATCGCCTGCAACAAAATACGTAATTTCTTTGCTTAGGAGAGCGAATTCTTTGCCAATTCCTTCTTAATTTGAGCTTTTTACTTATTAAGGTAAACATGTTTGGGGTGTGCAGGCCAGGGCAGTAAGAACTGCGATGTTTAATAGAAGGATTTGGTGTTGCAATTTCTGCGGCCTTAACTGTTACATCAGTGAGACTTTCAGCTGCCCTGACGATTTCGTTCTGGGTCCGAATAATAATTTCGGGTCAATGTGCGAACTGATAAATTTTTGTATTTTAACCAGTTTGAGTGCTTATTTGTAAGATTTTTTTTGGTTTTTCTTCATAATTAACAAACATTTATAACGTTATGAGAAAGGGAGAATGATCTGAAGAGAGATCAAATAATGCTTCTGTATTAACTTGGTGTCGCGCAATACCCTTTGTTACACCAAAGTCAAAAAGATCAGGTATTTTTTGATGGTCAGATGGCCAATACGTTGGCTGACCAGTAGAAAATACGTCAAATCCTCTACTCTGGATTACTTTATATAGATTTCACCTTTTGGTGTAATCAATCTAGACCCCCAGAATGTGTGTTTGGCATTGTAATCTCCTGCTACAATAAACTTACTGCCAAACTTTACAAAAAAGTCATTAAAGTGTTTTTCTGTTATGTTATCACGAGGGGGGCAGTATATAGCAGATACAGTCAGGCCGCCCAAATGGTCATCAATGTGTATTGCAGTATTATGAATGAACTCATCACTTTGCGATTCTAATAGCTCAGTTAGTCAACGACGTAGCGTAAACGTAGGTTGACGTACGTAGCAGCATATCAAATTTACTGTTGATAGAGAGAGAGAAAAGCAACGGCAACGTCATCGCCATGCGGTGGTGAGTTTTCGTGAACACGCGAATCCCATAAGATAGAACGTGTCTGCGTCACCCTACGTCTACGCAACCTCGTTGACTGTTTGCGCTTTAATTCATTGTGCTTTGCTAATGAGAATGGCTGTTCCACCTCGGCCTTTCCCTTGCGGATGCTTAGTATCATAGCATTTGTACCCCTTCTTCTTTGTTTGTTGCTGTCCATGAAGGTAGTAGCTAGAGCTGGGCTGCTGTCCGCATTGATCACTGCTGAAGAGCAAAATTGTGCTCGTTGCTTGGCTGCATATGCTGGTTGTGATGGTGTGTTATCAGTATAAGAGTTTTCTTTAGCGTTGTTGTTGCTGGTTTTGCTTTTTGGGCTGCATGCATAAATTGTCAAATATGCATTTCTTTTGCTTGAGCTTTGAATTGAGTGCCTGTTCTCTTGCAGGTTATTATTAATTAACTAGCGAAAATTAGTTATTTGATAACTATTGACCCCAATAACTTTTTG